TCTGTGGCAGAATTACAGCGCCACATGCTGGTCTGGCATGTATACTACATCGTTTTGTGTCGGTTTCGTGGTTTCATGTGAAGTGACATGTGGCCAAGTATGGTGACCCATACTAGGAATTGGTGCTCTGCATTTATCCCACCCAAAGTGCACACACACAGCAGTGAACACACACCCGGAGCAGTGGGCAGCCATTTTTTGCTGCGGTGCAGTTGGGGGTTCAGTGCTTTGCTCAAGGGCACCTCAGTCGTGGTATTGAAGGTGGGAGAGAGCGCTGTACATTCACTCCCCCCACCTACAATTCCTGCCGGACCTGAGACTCGAACCCGCACCCTTTGGGTTACGAGTCCGACTCTCTAACCATTAGGCCACGACTTCCCCAATAAGAAACATGTACATGTACTTTATTCTGTTCAAACATTTAAACCCCTGGCTCTTGATGCATCGTGTTTCCTTCTGGAGCATCAGTGAGCGTTTGAACATATTGTAATAGTTGCACATAAGTCCCTCAGTTGTCTTCAGTGTGAAAATAGGGATCTCAAAATCCTACAGTCATTGTTGTAAAGGGTTCAAATACACAAAAGATGCTGGAAAACCAAAGAATTAGTGGGACCTGAAGCATTTTTGTGAAGAACAGCGGGCAGTTTAACTGTTCAGGACAAACAAGGGACTCATGAACAAAAAAAACAACAACAACAAAAAACAGCTGTGGATCATCCAGGTAACAACACAGTATTATGAATCAAGCGTATGTAAACTTTTGAACGGGGTCATTTTTATCAATTCAGCTATTATTTTCTCTTGTGGACTATATGTAAACGCCTTTTATGTGAAATATCTCATTCAGGTCAGTACTAAATAAAAAAATAATTAACATTTTGCAGATACTGCAAAGTGTATGTAAAATGTTGTCCACAACTATGCATGTGTGTCTGACAAATTTTAAATAACTGAATGATCATTTTGCATGGTATGGCTCACACGCTGAAAGAATGTTTTGAAGTTGTGGATAGTATGTTAATACTAGTTATAGTCTTTTTTTTTAATCTACAAACAGTAAAATCGAATTGAAAAGACATTTGAAAAACTTGAAATCTGTTAGTTTTATTAAAAATCATTCATGGGACATAAAAGTGCCTGTAGTTGAAGAAACAGTATTTTTGACTCTAAGGCTGATGCTGAGTGTGTCCTGATGACCTGCAGCAGTGAAGAGGGAAGGGCACAGGTAGGTGTGTGTGAGAGATAGTTGATGAGAGGGACACAGGTAGCTTATGTGAGCGTGTTTGTGTGTGAAATGCAGGAGTTTGCAGATTTTGTGTGTGTGTGATGGGGTCAGTTGTGCTGAGTTAGAGGAGTGTAGTAACC